TGAGGGAAGAGCAAGTGCAAAGGCCCTGCGGTGGGAATGTGTGGGACAGGACATACATTCTAAGGATGCTGGAGGGCCCTACAACTTTCCCCTGTGGACAACATATCCTGGAATTTGAGCATCAGGAGCTGCTTTGCAATCAGACGGAAGTGGGTCTGAAATCTTGCTTTCCCAGGGACCAACCATGCAAACTTGAACAAATTCCTTAATCTTCCAGAGGCCTTTCCCAGCCTGCCAGATGGGAAGCTACGGTCTAGAAGGTCAGTAGCAGAGTCAGGACAAAACAAACGGCAGTTACACAAGTGATTCAGGGAAAAGGAGAATCTCACCTTCTCCTGCACATCATTTCTAGGGTGACACGTTAGAAGCGGGATCCTAGCAAAGCACCTGCCTTCCCTGCCCGGTCTACTGTCACACCCCTGGGCAATAACTGCCTGGGCCACTAATAATGACAAGAACATCATCTCACACCAGGAAAGGATTTGTGGGGCCTGAGGCCGACTCACATACACTGCCTCCTTGGCACATCTCGGCAACCTTCTAGGATGGGCAGAGGAAAACTGTTCCTACCCTACTTAACATGTAAAGTACAGGCAATGGGGAAAAGTGAAGTGACTTAGCCAGGGTTGGAGCCCCTCAGGGTGGCAGGGCTCCAACAAAAAGGGTGGAGAACATACAAAATAAAAATAAACTGAAATAAACTCTTTCCTAATTTAACTGGAGGCTACACCCTCTGTGGTCAACTGAGCCTCTTCTAATGTCGTTAGCTTATCTTGTTTTAACCTTGTTTAATAGTTTATTTTCAGACTGTCCAGGACCGAAAATCACAGAATTTCCAAGTCAGAAAGGATGTTTGAGATAGCTCAGGACAACTCCCCCATTTTACAGATGATGACACTGAGGCCAGGAGGTCTGATGACGGTTCAAGGCCAATCGTCTACCAGTGTAGAGTAGAAATCACAATACTTCTGTTGTCTTGCAGTCCAAATTATCTTCTACTTCCCAAAGACTTAGAAATCTATGACCTAATGTCATTGCTATTTTTGTACTAAACATAATATGCAACAAAGATAAATTTCTAAAAATTCTACATTTGGGTCAATAGTTTTAATCAAAACATCCAATTCTCCTCTGCCTACTCTATTTGCTCCTGTGACTCATTCCCCCTTGGATATTTTTTACTGCCTTTTATTCTCGTGCCACCATAAAAGAACCCCACTACTTCCAAATGTGTCTTCTGTTTTTGATAGTGCCTAATGCTGGCATGTTCTGACAGCCCACAGTGCCACCTCTGGACAGCAGCGCACACCAGGAGGCTATGTGGCATTGACTTGTATAATGATTTGAAGGAAGAGCTGAGTTGAAAGGAGAAAAATTAGGATTACACATTCTTTATTAGCCCTCCTTGTTCATTTACTAAGACGTTTCAATAATGTTTCAATAAAGTCTTCCAGGTTAGGAGGCTACTCGTGACTGAGCCCTTGGTGTCGCCTTTTTGAAGGTCCCTCGTCTAGCACTCACAGATGTATCCAATTTTCTGCTCAGTGACTAATCATATGTAATATGGTAAAGCAAGCACAGTCCAACAAAAGAGAGATCTGAGAACGTGAACATCTAGAACCTTCCTTTGTTTCACTCCACCAATAATTCCAAGGGATTGGAGCTCCTTCATTGAGGAGGACAGAAAGAACACTTCTCCCTTCATAAGCAGTGTGACAGGAGCAAGCTAGGCATGATTTTTAATGATTCTTAAGTACTCAACAGATGTGTCATTTTACTTGTTCTGAAAACTCAGAGAAAGAGCCATGAACTCAGCAAAGAGAATGAAGATGTGGGGAGGTGATGGGGGTTTGAGAGGCTTCCAGAAGGAGCTGCACAGGCGCTAGCCAGGCAGAGAGGGGCTGGGGTACACCTGGGGTTAAGGGACCACACATGGTCTGGGAGCTAGAGCCCAGTGTATGAGACAGGGGCAAGCGCAGGCTGGACCAGGCAGGACTTTACCTCCCAGGCTGAGCCACCAGAGCCCATGGGGCAGCAAGCCTTAACCCTGGGCTCAGAAAGAGAGTTCTCCCAATCCCTTGTGATGGTCTTCAAAGTGCCTGTATATTTTTCATCAACTTTTCAAAGATATTATGTGACCCCCAAAAGTTTTAAAATCACCTGCCAGAGAGGATGGGAAGCCACTATTCTTCAGACTGAGCTCTCTGGTGACACTGTGGGGAATAGACCCAAGGAGAGAAAGGCTGGTGGCAGGATACTGGTAAGGAGAACAAGGAGAGGAGTGGCCAAGGGCGGGAGAGCAGCAGGACAGGAGGGCAGCAGGCTGGCCCCAGCAGGTGCAGCAGCCAGAGGTGAGAAGTGGGGAAAAGAGCAGAATCTGGCCTGATTCCCTGCATTTCTAACTTGGGGGGAGGGGCATGTGATGGTGCTGCCCAATGTGGGGGGTTCACAGGGGAACAGAAGCAGTGTCATGCAGGAAAGATGCTCAGAGATGGTTAGAAATGTTTCCAATGCTTGCAGGGTGGTGGGGGATATAGCTAGAAATGACCATCGGCATTGTAGGAACTGGGGCATTTTAGAAAAAGACAGAGCTTGAAAGCAAAACTTTCCACACCCTTCAGATAGGACAGGCGCAGCTAAGGTGCAGTGAGGATCTGGGCGGCCCAACATCACAGAGGGAGGTGGTGGCAGGGAAAGCTCTTTATTCCCCAAGAAAGGGCTGCTATTCCAGTTCTGTTGCTCGTGCTTTTGAAAATAAGCATCTGAGTTGCTGATGGCAGGTTTCACAGGGCCTGGGGTTGGCTGACAACCATGTACTTTTGCATACAACGCTGAGGTATCCTCAGCTCATGAGCAATGTTCAGAGATGTCTGCCAGAGGTCAGCTATGCAATTTGTGTGGTTTTATCTCTTTGTCACTGACCTGGAATAAGGAGTGGAGGAAACACACACTTAGTTTGCTGGATGCTGCAGAGAGCCAACACCTTGGAAGAGAGATGCAGATTCCAGCCACTTGAATGAATTAGGCAAAGGGTTCAAAGGGGAGAAAAAAAGATGAAGTTCTCCAGAAATGAGGTTTAAAAATATCATAAAGGATGAAGGTTCAAAAGGTATAGCTCAGCAGGAAGAAATGCAACTATGAAAAGATAGCTACTTTCAAAAGCCAAAAAAATCATGTTTCCATTACCATCAGTTCTGGTCTTGTAATTCCTATAGTATTAGATCTAATTTAGATCATCACATATATAAAAAGCTGAACTAAAATAACCTCTTTCCCATCTCAGAGAAGCCAAGAGCTTGGTATAAAGGAGTGGATACTGGCCAGCCCCTTCTCCTTCTCATGTGCATGACAGGGTGAACAAAAGACACAGAAAAGTGAGCTGAACCTCTTAGGTGACCTGTTATGTCAAAGGTACAGATCAAGATTAGTTTGAATAATCTCCTATCACCAAGTTAGGGCACAGGGGTCACTGGTAATTGTAGGCTTCAGATCTGTAGACTAAGACCAATTGAAGTTTTTCTCTGAGGTCAAATGTGAGAGCGGTTTTGGACTCAGTTGTTCTAAATAATTATTGGGTTTTAGCAATAGCAACATAGAAGCTAACAGAGTTAGGAGTTTTTACTTATTTTAAAAGCTTACTCCATAAGATGATCTACTCTACTATTTAATGCTTGAATTTTTAAATACACTATATAGTCTCCAATTTCAATATATATAGTTTTAAATATCTAGTTTTCATTCTAGTATGGTTTAGAAAATTCACAGCTCGGACCTAGATCTCAGAATGCGCATTCCTCCCGAATGCCAGGGGGCTCTCCGGCGGCTGCCCCCTGGTGGTGACATTCCCACACTGTGGAGAAAGAGCACCTGCTGCCGGGGACAGTGACACAGCTCCAAGTTCAGAAAGGACAAACTCAAACTTCGGCGAAGGCAGACGTCTCACGTCGGTGTAGACACTCATCTTTAGGAAACTTTGCCACGACCCTTCCACATGCCCACGTTTGTGTGGGTGCACCCGTGTCCCGACACTCTTCGAGGGGATAGTGGGTCTGTCATTGGTCCGGGCAGCCTGGTGAGCAGAGCCCAGTTCTAAAAATTTCTGTGAAAAAGCATGAAGGGAGACACTTCCAAGGAATAAGGTGGAAAACTGCCGCACAGCCGAGTTGCCAAAGAAACACTGAATCCCAGGACAAATACCAGAGAGACAAAAAGTAATGAGCCCGTGATCTTCTGCTCCATCTCCAGGTTATGCTTCAGGCCCCTCATTTTCCACTCACCTCCCACTTGACCGCACCCTCCACAGCTCTGACACACTCCCACTCGCACGATCTGCCTGTCTTGAGGGTGTTGTGACCTGAATTGATGTTGTCACTCCACACGTTGCCACTCAAGACGAAGCATGAGCAAGGTCAGTGGCCTCGGGTCGCGGTGGATCAAGGAAGTTGACGGAAGGGCACTGGCGGGTCCGCTGTGAGCCTGATCTATGGAGTGTTGTGGGTAAGGTCAGCGACCAGGACCGGGACCGCAGCCAACAAGAGGCCTGGGAGAATCCCAGTGGGAGAGCAGAGACGCTGAGGTCAGCTAGGGCACGGTGTGCACAGAGGAAGGCCAGCGGCTCTGCTCGGATCAGAACGCAGCACAGCAGGGGCCGGCACCCAGGCTGGTGAGGACGCTGCACCGTGATGAAATAATTCTTTCTATACAGTGTGTGACAAGGGCAGTGATAATAGCTACAGCATATTACCTTCAGAGCACACCTGGCGGATTGCACGGTGGCTATGAACCAACCGGGACTCAAGGTGAAAATACCTGGGCAGACAGACAGACAGACAGGAAGAAAACATCACGCTAGGTCGGCCTGGAGTTGGAATCCAATGTGAAGAGTCCCCAGGACCGCAGTGGCAGCAGGACTCCCCAGACAAAGGCTGAGAGACAGGAGAGACAACACGGAAGGTGCTGGGAAACTCTCGCCCGACCCTTCAACAACAGCAACAACTCACGTTTACTGAGCGCTTGCTCTGTGAGCTGTCCACGGATGATCCCACAGACCCCGCACGAAGAAAGGCCGTTGCGATGCGGCAGCCGAGCCTCAGAGAGCAGTCTGGGGTGACTCCCCTAGCCAGGGGTCCTCCCAGCCACCTCCTCTCCTCTCCGTGTCGATCTCTTCCTCCAAAGTGCGCGCCCGCCTCGGAGAAGCAAGTCCTGCGTAAACGGGGAGCTATGGCTGCTGCTTCCGCACTCGCACGGCACGCTGACGCACGGCACGCTGACGCACGGCACGCTGACGTTCGGCACGCTGACGTTCGGCACGTGACGCCAGGCACGCTGACGCCCGGCATGCCTGCCTCCAGGAAGCAGAGCCTCCCTGCGTGGCTGACAGCAGACAGTTGAGGGAAAGATGAGGCACCTATTACAGCGCCTATCGAAGGAAGAGCAGGATTAGAATCAAGTGCATTTTTTGTTTTTAAAAAGAATAGCGGATCGAATGGTGCGCAATGGGAACTAAAGCTGCTGAGTGCCCGCGGGACAAACGATCGTCAGGTCAGTCGCCTGCAGCCGGCACTGTCTCAGCGGCCAGTATCTGCTATTCTGGTGGTCTTCTCTTTTCTGCTGGTTTCTCTACCATAAGGATTGTACAGTAAGCTAAAAAAAAAAAAAAAAGACATCTGGGCTACCCACTTCAGCCGACTATTTAATATTACAATACTAAGTGTAGTAGTGTATCACAATAACCAAATAAGCAGTGTCAGCATCTGTTATCAGGATCTGTTATCAGGATCGTTGCAAAACGAGATCAGAACCATCCACTTATTGGCCTGACTCACCATACACATCCTCTGGCCGGATTTGTCTGGCGTTTGCCTCCCTCAGCAGATGCCTTGTTCTAACTGGTCCACACTGCAGAATCCAGGGTGTGATGCAGGAGATTGTCAAAGTATCCGGAAACTTTTCAAATGAACAAGAATGAACGACAAAAATGAAAATAGCAAAACTCTCTCCTGACTCACTCAAAAACGAGTGAATGAGGCAAAGCCTACCAGTGCAGACAGAAACAATAGTGCTACAGAAGAGACAAAGGAAAGGAAATCTGCAGTGGTGTTAATCTGTAGTAATGGGGCACCATATTTGCCATGATTGTTGCAAGGAGATACAGAAAAAGAGGCTCTGAAGAATGGATTGGTAGGTCAGTTTCGTGCAACGTTCATTATCAGTCTTTCCAAGTATCAGGAGAGGAAAAATTCAAAACGCACACCTTGGTTGTGGTACTTATCCCTGCCTTATCAGTAGCAGGTGAACCGCATTATTTCCAGAAGAAACAGACCAATGTCAGGATTCACTCACTGACCAGCCACATCAAACCAAGTAGGTAACCCCATAGCTCGGGCTCTCCAAGCTTGAATCAAAGCGACAATTACACAAGTCATTCCAGACAACTTTGGCTACACCAAATGCTCACTCGTTTCAAAGCATTCACTCAAATGGGTGGTCTTGTTCAGCAAACGGCAGTAACTGCCCGTGTCTGCCACACAGACACGTATGAGGCCATCTATAGAGCGCCTTGCTGGGAACCACCCTCTCTAATCTTATCTCTCCTGGACTTTCAGAAGTCACTTTGTTGACAATGAGCCAAAGAGCCAGTAGGAAATATACGTTCCCAACCCATATGTCTACAAGAACAGACGACTCTCTTCAAAAAAAACAGACCTTCCTAATATGGAAGCACTTTCATGTTCTAAATGGGTCAACACTGATTGACAAACACTAAGAAATGTGTATTCCTTTAGAAATGGACCTCTCAGCTACATACTACATAGGATTCCAGCTATATGACATTCTCAACACAGTGAAAAGATCAGTGGTTGCCAGGGGTTAGTGGGGGGGTGAATGGGTGGAGCACAGGGAGTTTTTAGGGCAGCAAAATACTGTGTGTGATACCACAACACAGATGCATGTCATTATAGATTTGTCCAGACCCATAGAATATACAACACCAATGTCTAGTGAGAATATATTTATAACATTCCCAGAAAATTCTTTGATTAATTGTAAGACAGCTGATGTCAACACTAGCTGGACAGTGATTACACAACTACGCTCTGACAGAGGTTCATAGGTGCCTCTCAGTGTTGACAACTCTCTTCTTCCTGAGATGTGAGAACATCCATGCCTTAGTTGGGATCATTGATTATCTAGCCTTCCTAGCAGCTAAAGGTGGGCATGTAACTCACTTTTAGCCAATGAACTACAAACAGAAATGTTGCATGTGACTTCTGGAAAGTATCTTTAGCAGGAGCAAAAGATACTCCTTCTACCTTCCTGCCATGTGGAAAGAGGTTTGGTGGCTAGAGCTGGTGGTGTCAGACCACAAAATCATCTTGGAAATGACAGCTGCACATAGTAAAGCAACAGTGTAGAAGGCACCAGGACTGCTGATATCCTGCAGCCACCAAACCAGCCCTGTTCTCTTTCACATGAGCTACCAAAACACCTATACCTTATTTTAACTTTGGCAGGGGGTGGGGGAGCGTCTTTGTTGCTCCCAGACAAACCTAATCTAAACAAGCTCAGCATCACACTAGTAAGCCCCATAGCCTGGCACATGTACTCTTTATGTTAGGAAAAAGGTAATGATAGAGATTATACTAAGAAGTCCATTCAAGGAGTCTTTATCAGTGCTAGCAGTAAAAGAGAATTCAAGTCCATAGAGTCTCGCCCCTAGGAGAAATCAAGTCTAGCATGCTTCACGACATAGACCACAAACTGCCTCCATGCAATCCTAAGCAGACTCCCGTGTCAAGGTTCCCTCCCTTTTATAAAGGTCACATTCCTTCTGACACTGGGTGAAACAGCTTCTGGAAAGTCCTGTGTAGCCCCAGGCTGCCCAGCATCCCTATCCATTTTCCAGCTTTCCAAGTGGGACAATGAAGGCAGCACACTGAACACGATCGCTGTGACCTGCAGACCCTGCACGTGATCAGCTCCTTTCCTGGAGCCTTTGCCAGGGCCCTGCCTCCTGCCTGCTCCAGCACCTGCAACATCACCATCCTCATCAGCAAAGGCTGCATGAAGACGAATACATGAATCAATAGTTCATGCCCAGATTCCCGAATGGTCACTAGGCCCAGACAGAAATCCTTTGCTGGGCTTGAGTGAGAGAGAAAAACTGCAAATGAGTCCCTGACCCTGCCTAGACCCTTGTGGACCTGGTAAACCTCAGGCCATCAGGGCTCACGCCCTTCAGGCAATGTTACTGGGCTCCTGGAATCTCTGCTCAAATGCTTTTGCCTAAAACACATCGGGGTGCTCACTTCGGCAGCACATATACTAAAATTGGGATGATACAGAGAAGATTAGTGTGGCCCCTGTAATAAAAATAAGATTTAAATAAATAAATAAATAAAACACATTGAGACCCATTTATTAGTGGCAGCAAAGCTCCTAATTTCTCCACTAAAAACAAAAAATCAGAACTCCACTCTGAATGGTTTTTTGCCTTTGTCAAGCCATTCAGGCACTAGCCAACCGACATTTGAGTCAACCTGATGCTCTCCAGATTGCTAACACCACTAATATCACATACAAAGTATTTTTAGAGTACCACATAGCTGTTAGGGGGCTTGACAGTGTAGCCTGGTCCCTGCTCTCTTTCCCAAGTACTCCAGAAACAAGGGCGCTCTGGCTGATTAGGCAAACTCTACTCCCAGAACCGGCATGGGGCCTTCTCCTCCTCTTTGGTGCTTTCATCTGTTTCCCTCTCCAAGTCTCTGCTCTGACTGTCTGGTCCAGGAGCTCCCTGCTTCCCCCTCGCCCCTCCTGAGCATCACTGGAGCATCTTTGCAAGAAGATGTGGTTGTATGAGGAAGAATGTGTCAAGGAAATGGGAAGATACCACTTTCATTAAGCATTTACTATGTGCACATAGTATATTTTATGTGTTTTCTCACTTAATTCTTGCAGCCAATCACAGTGATTTGTATTTCAATTCCCATTTTAAAGATGAGAAAACTGAGACTTTGAGTAGATAGGAAACCTGCCCAAGATCACACAGCCTATGCTACAGTTGGCACATAAATCCAGGCTTATTTGACTTCAAAGCCCTTCTTTTCACAGTAGTCTAAATAGTATATCTCCAACAAATACATTAGAGATGATTAATATTTAACAGTTACCCACAAATGCAATTCAATTAATTTTACTCTGGATCCATAGAATTAAGGCAGTTAGAGCCACACTTTGTATCATCTGGAAAAGATAGAGAAGTTGCTTTGAGGGTTTTGTTTTATTTTGTCTAAAGTTCCTTAAGAAAGTAGCACACCAATTTTTAGGACTAAGCCAAGAAATAGGCATTTAAATCCTAATTTAATTTTTAAAGAATTATGAGTTTTATTAAGGTCGAAAACAGAGCTGAAGACGACAGAGTCCAAAGTCTAGTTACCCTGTATTTTGGACAGGAACAATATAACCAAAAAGAATTTAAGTAATAATGTGGATAATTTGAGGAAGCATTTTTATAAGTCAATATATAAAATAATGTTTGGCAGTAGAAAGTCCCCAGTTCATATTTATTATGTCAGCATAGCTTTAACTACATGAATTTAAATTCATACTTCACTTTCTAGAACACCCAGTTTTCTCTAATACCAATACTTAAGAGAAAAAAAGAAGCATTTGCTTTCTTTTTTAATAAAAAATACAGATATTTCCATTCTTTTATGTATATATAAACCTATACAAAATACATTGTACTGTTTTTTGTTTTGTTTTGTTTTGAGATAGGGTCTTGCTCTGTTATCCATCCTGAAGTGCAGTGGCATCATCATAATAACTCACTGCAAGCTCAAAATCCTGGGCTCAAGCAATCCTCCTCCCTCAGCCTCCCTAGTAGCTGGGACTATAGCTGTGCACCACCACGCCTGGCTAATTTTTTTTATTTTTTGTAGAAACAGGGTCTCACTGTGTTGCTCAAGCTGGTCTCGAACTCCTGGCCTCAAGTGATCCTCCTGCCTGGGCCTCTGAAAGTGCTAGAATCACAGGCATGAGCCAACACACCCAGCCCAACATTTGCTTTCTAATATGTGCCTTCTTTGTTTAAAAGAAATGAAAGAAGGAGGATTAACCTAGGTGAACATTTCTAAGATTCCTATTATGTGGAAAATGGGCCAAAATCGTCGAGAAACTGATTATATAAAACTGGGAGGTCTACAGGCAGGAATGGCTGTAGATATTCTTAGCAGTTGAAGTCACTGGTTTATCTTGTTTTATAATTTTTTATCTTCAGCTTTCAGCACTGTTGCCAAGTTCCATAAGAAGATGCTCCAAGATGTGTTACTGAGAGCAAAAAGCCTCATTGTTTGAAAGTAATCTCCCCAACTGCCTGCTCCACAACCCCCAAGGTCTTCCAGCAGACACATAAAATACATAATTTCCATTTCCGTATGTGGCTTGGAATGCTTATTGTCATCACGCTATTGTGTCTGCTGCAAACATTTGTGTTCTGAAAGAATAATGACTTACAGCTCCTTAGGAGGCATGAGGGACCCAAGGCCTCTGTCTCTTCCCACCTGCTGTGCGCTGTCACCTCCACTTCCTTCCATCCCGAGAAGCTTTGGGATTGCAGTGAGTCCACAGGTGAACATCTCTCTACTATACCAGGGATGCAACGTTTAGTTCATCCCAAGCCCAGCACAGAAAGGGGACTCAGACAGGGTAGCCTCAGAGGCACATCCTTCCTTCCTTCCTCACCTCCGTGGGCTACAGCGGACCCAGTGACAAGGGGAGAGACAAAGGAGAGGGAGAAGGTCAGGGAGGTCTCTGTCTGGAGCCAGCAGGGCAATGCTACCCTTAATCCTGAGGCCCCCAAAACTCCCTACTCCGTCTGCCTGCCAGGATCCCAAATGCTGCCAGCCGTTCCACTGCACCAAGACGCTTGTTCCCTACATTTCTTCATTAAATAAATGAATAAAAATCACTTGCGTCCTGAAGTATTTGAAACATACAGAAAAGTACAAAGAATAATAGAACAAGCATCCAAGTACCTATCACCCAGATTTTTTTTGCCATTGAGAACACAGAAGCATCTGAGCCGGCGGATCAGCTAAGTCCGCCCTGATCCGATTCACTTCCTTATCCGGATTGATACATTTGGGGGTGGGCATCGCATGGATGGGCTGAGATGTGTAAACCACCCATATAGTGCTCTGAGCTGATGAAAGATGCTGCACAATAACAATGCTGTCCTCGGAGAGAGTGCCCTCTTGCTTTTCACACCCAGAAGACACGTGGAGGAACATGGGCTGCAACCCCTGAAGAAATATCTCCTAGTAGCAGGTGCATCATAAATTTTGTTGTGTTCAATTGTCAGTATCCTAATCTAGAGCTAAAAGAAATCTCAGGGCCATCCAGTTCAGCCTCTCATTTCACAGATGGCAGAAATTGAATCTCAAAGGAATTAAGTGATGTACCCAAAGTCACACAAATACCTAGCGGGTCAGGGCTAAAAACTAGTTCTCTGCTATCACTCAGTGTAATGTTTTTTCCTTCACACCATATTGTTTTTTCATGAAGAAATAAAGTGAAACTCATGTGCACTTGCTTTTGCCATTGGCAGGGCTAATAGAGGAGTGAAATTGGTATTTTTGCCCCCTTTCCTTACAATGTCTATTTCCTTTTGACCGAACCACATCCTCTGCAGTTGGTGCCCTGGGCTTACCCCAGTTCCCCTCGAACTCTGCACCAGGGTCCGTTCCCTCTGCCCTCATTTGCACCTGGCTGAGCTGAGCGAGGAGCTCTCCCTAAGCATATCTGGCCTGACCTGGCTGGTGTCCTCCAGTGGACCTTGAATCCTACCACACTAACAGAACTGCCCTAACACCTGCCATCAGCCTCCTCCCTGCAGCCTCAGGCCAGGACTTGTTGACCCACCCTTCCTCCTGTTCTTCTTTCTACTATCAAATCAGTCCAATATCCAAAATGCAAAAAAAAAAGAAAAGAAAAGAAAAGAAAAAGAATAATATAAGGCAATAGAGAGGAGAAAACTTGGATAATCCACTAACAGAATAGTCTAACACTGAAAAAGAATAGGCTATAATGAACATCCTTCCCTTGATCCTACTTCCGAGTGACTAAACCTTCCATCATTCAGTCAAGGCAGCGAAATCGAATCCAGAGACACCCACACGACTGCCAGCCCCTACGTTTTGATGTCAGGGAACAAAAGAGGTGTCTGGACTTCTAGTAACCCGTGGTCATGCTACACGACATGAATCCAAATTGCATTTCCCAGATGCCTCCGTGAGAAGCCCCCGGCTCTGGTTTCCTGGGCACGGTCCCACCTTAGAATGGTGTCGGCGTCTGGGCTCCTCGTGGCCGGACGTGTGAAGGGGCCGACGAGTCTTTGGGTCCAGGAGGACGTCTGCTTGCAGCCTTTGGAGCTTCTCTGTCAGCCTGCCAGGAGAGTGCCAGAGGGACAGGAATCTCCCGCAGTCTCGGAGGCTGGCTTCAGGCAGCTGGACAGTAGTTTCAGATGGACTAAAGTATGAGAAGAGCTATATGCAAAAAGCCCTTTTAACTTTAAAATTCTAAGATTTTATGATTTCCAGGTCACTTTTCTGCAAAGCTGGGGCCACTGGCATTCTCAGAGGGGATTCCCCAGGTCGGGGCCAATGGTCCCTAGAGAATTCCTTGGTAGCTCCCAAAGGAGCCCCCAGAGCTTCACCTCACGTTAGCTCCCGAGTCCTGGCAGGTGGCCGTGAAAGAAGAAAACATTCACGTGTACCTGAGAGGAGCCTTGAGAGTGACAACTCCTCAGAACTGGACTCGAACCGGCTTGGGCCGAGGCTTGCGTCCACCTGCTTTCTGATGGCCCCAGGGACAGAGGCCCAGCTCCCTGCACCCCTCCTCACTCACTCGGGCCTCTTCAGAGAGGCAGGTCCACAGGTAAGAGGGCCTAGCTCACATCTTAACCTCATCAACGCTCAATTTCTCCCTCTAAAATGAGGAAACTAGTTGGACTTAGCTCACAGGGCTGTCTGCGAAGTGTAAATGAGAACGAACACCTCTGGGCCTCTCTCAGCACGGTGCCCTGTGCACAGCGAGCGAGCAGTACCCAGCGCCGTGACGCACCGAGGCCGCGCAGGAGCTGAGCCCCGGACTCATACTGGGAACGGTGTGGTCCAGGGCTCCATCGAGTACATGAGAAAACAGAGACCTAGGAAGATAAATCAGTCTCCTAAATCCATGCCGCCGCTTGCCACAGACCAGAATCCATTTGCGCTGACCCACGATCCAGCATGCCCGTGTCCCCTCCCACATTGAAGGCACCTTTCTTTCTCAGCTTAGCCTTTATCGCGATGGCCACAAAGCCATCTTTAAAGCTTACGCGGTGTTTTGCTTCGTTGGGCTGAAAACAGCACACACTTGAGTGCCCAGCAAGCCTGATTCACCTCCCAGAGCAAGCCGTCTGGCTTCTGTTGCGTTTCACACAGAATTTCCCTAAGCTTGGCATAAAACATCCTTTCCTCTTCTTTCTTCTTCTCCTTTTTTATTTTCTTTCCAGTCCTTTGAATACTCAACAGAGCCTCATCTAAAGCTTACTTTGGAACCCCAAACGCGGGGGTGACTCATATCAAAGAGCTTTCCGCCACCTTCTCTCACGGGTCAAAGCCTCCCCGCTGACAGCCGCTCTGTCTGAGAGGTGCGGCTCGGCCCCATAAGTCATCAGGTACAGACGCTACCGGGGCCACGTCACCTGGCCCCAGCTGCAGGGGAACAACTCACATGAGGCACATCTTACAGCTGAAGAAATGTGGTTTCTGCTCTGGAAATGAACCTGATAAACGGTTTTCTTGCTAGGACTCACCCAGCTACCCTGACGCTGCCCGCCACGGGGCGTTTTCAGTATCCACTCCTCAGTGAGTGGAATTCAAGGAAACCCAAAACGAGTTTCTTGAATTCTCGAACGAAAAAATATACTTAGAGGCAATGCCACAAATTATGAAAAAGAAATTCTATTTTCAAGCTCACTTCAACCCAACACCTACTCACGGAGCACCTACTGTGGGCAGCCCTTTCCACGCACGGGTTTACACTTTCCTGTCTAGCCCTCGAAACTCCCCGGCGAGTGGACTTCTTTCTGCCACAGGGTCTCAGGAAGATAAAGGGAAACAGTGGGAGAGCCTCGGGTGAGAGGCCAAGGTGTCTTTGTCATCAGTTCAGTGTAGTATTCCCACATTCCCACATTCCCCTATTTATATCACCTACGCAATCAAGGTTGCATTTGTGGAGCTAATATTTCGCACAGTTTTATGGAAGGTGGATTTATCACAGTGGTTCAGATTTATGATAAGCCTTTAGTTACTATTCCCATTTGCATCATCCCTAAAGAAGCAAGGTGGATGGTAACCTCAGAGGGTTACCGGTGATTCGCCCCAGGCTTTCAGATTTTAATGGTCTGCTCAGTGTGACCAAGACACATCAGGGCCCAGGAAAGTGTCTTGTTGGGGTCAACGTTCGACATAACTAAAGGAAGGACACACAAATCCTTCCATCTTCCCAGGATGTCTGCCCGGAGGGTTGATCGTGTCCCTGGGGTGATGATCTCAAGTGATGACACCACACTGTGAATCCCAGACAGCCCCAGCGACATGTTTCAGCTGAAGCCCACATCTGCTCTGTTGATTAGAAACAGCCCGAGAAAATTATCATTCTTATTACTGGGTAATTTTTAGCACTCTCTCTGATCTTCTGCCCTGGGAACCATATGCTTCACGACATCCTACACTGGATGAAAACACTGCGCTGCAGTCAAGCATTGTTGACATTAGTATTTATTGAGAGTACTTGAGGCCTCCCCTAGTGGAGTTGGCAGAGGCCAGCAGGGTTGTTACCAGTGCCGGGAGGCTGGCTCTCGGGCTTTGTCCTGGGACGTGAAGAGGCATCTCTGTGCCATCCCACCATGGGTCAGCCACTCGGGGACTCGTCTGCACACAGCACCACCCTCCACCAGGTGCAGTGTCTTTGGCTGGCTTCCGGTTCTCTCTCCCATCCTCCCCCTCACCAACATCCTCATTACTGTTTTTCCCTTTTATCAAGCTGGTGTGTTCTTAGATCATGCATGTTAATTTTTGATACTAACTAAGCTAAATAAAGCATAAAAGCAAGGCAAACCTCCTGGCACAGATGGACTGAGAGGGAGAAAATAATTTCAAAGTCTCCTACACGACTGTTGCACTGCTTCCCTCCAATAGAGCAGGTCGGGGAGCTGCTCTCGAGAGTCGGGGTGGGGGGCGGGGGGTGTCAGCCTCCCGTAGGCTCCCAGCTCGGGGTCGTGTCAAAGCCCAGACCTCAAGGAGAGGACAGCCCTTAGTACCTGCCCCAGGAGGCCCATCTCTTGCTGTCTGGTGGCCTGAGTCAGCCGAAGCCTCTACGCCGTCTCCCGGGCAGCCCTGGGCTGGCCCCGCTGGCCGCCGATGCAGGAGGCCACCCGCACGCCCTCCTGCCCCCAACCCCAGCAGCAGAGACAGCGCAAGGATTCCTGCTCTCCAGGCTTCCCTCTCACAGACCCTATCCCAATCACCCCGTGTACAAAGCACAAAACAATTGCTTGGGTTCTGAACAAATCACAACATTAGGGCCATTGCCGTGTGTCCCTGAGTCACCTTGATCAGACTGTGATGATCCCAGATCTCTCAGTTACACATTTATAAATTATTAGGAAACTGTTCTTCAAAAACACTCTTATTTGCAATTACATCTATTATAGTTAATAAGGGACAAGGGCAGGAGGAAAGGTGGAATTTTAATTAGGGTGGTCAGCGTTGACTTGATGAGAAAGCAACGTTTGAGCAAAGAGTGTTCTTCACTCTGCTGGACACAGGGAGACACCCAGGTAAGTCAGACATAGCCCTGGGGCTAAGGAGTTTGCCATCCGATGATGGAAAACTTTCAGAAAGACACATTGCAAGTGGATTA